GTCGATTGTCATTTTATTCGAGAGAAGATACAAAAAGGATTGATCTCTACAGGATATGTGAAGACTGGGGAACAACTTGGAGATTTGTTCACTAAAGCACTAAATGGAATTTGAGTTGGTTATTTATGTAACAAGTTGGGCATGATAAATATCTATGCTCCAACTTGAGGGGGAGTGTGAAAGTATATTAGAATATACTTTAGAATATGCTTTAGAATATATTAGGAATATACTATCGATATTATTATTGTATAGAATCTTATATAGGTATATTCTATTTGTAATGTATATTTATAGGGACTTCCACAACTAATGAAATACAGAAAATCTTTCCTCCACTTTTCAATATTATTCTAGTTTATATTTCAACAATTATGAAGCGGCCGTCAGTCCATGCAATTTTCGACGCGATTTTCACCATGGATCATCCGAAAACAATCTCTTTGTGCTTTAGTACACGGGTAACACTGCGTACATCCGACCCCCTTACCGCACCGTAGGTGGGAACCTTTACGGCAGTGGGGTCATGGTGGTGATGATGATGACTGGACAAGTAGTCGGTCACGCCGGATCATTATTGGCGGAAAGTCCCTAAAGTTAGGATAAAGGTTGTCAAGATCGCGAGTTAACTCTTAACTCGTACGATCTTACGCGTTGTGGGTACATGGTCGAGTTAGATCGCAGTTTGGATCGGAAATTGCAGCCGGATCGACGAGTTCACTCGTTAGATCGCGGAATAGTCAATCTCCTTCTATCTGCGTCGTTCGTGTCTGTAGGAAAAGAATACGACGCACAGAGTCGGAATTCTGAAACGACGATAAGGTCGGAAATCGGAAACGACGCAGACTAAGAGAAGCGAGTCAAGTTTTAAAAAATTAATGACCTGCGAAGATCCAACTCCCTAAGGCGACGCCTTCTTCAGTGTCCCAATGTCGCCTTCTTCATTCGTATTCTGTAACACTTGTTTTGTTCTTCTCAGAAAACGTTTGTCCTTTCTCCTTTCTACGTTTGTGTAGGACTTTAGATTTTTATTTACAAGCTGATTTTTTTTAGGTAAATTACATTGTGCCTCAGCCGGCTGTATCCAGAGGATTGTACAATCGAGTTTTTTTGTAATTAAATCCAAGTTGTAGGGTAAAGGTTAGTTTGATGGCCTGTTGCTGGTTTTCTTTTTCTGCCCGCCAGTCTTCCGTTATCTTTCATCATTTTTCCGTATATTTCCTAAAAAATAGGATGACACCCCCATTTTCCCGTCATCATTTTTCCGTATTTCGTTGATGGCTGCTTAGGCTTTACCCCATTTTCCCGTCATCATTTTGATCTTTCTTTTCTTTAGTTTTTTCTTTAACATGCTTTACTTTTTATATAATTATTATGCAAATTTATAATCTAAAATATGGTTAATGTTTGAGATTGTTTTTTCGCTCAACTAAAAAAACTTATGATTTTCCTATTAATGCTCATTTTATAATTTACGAATGCTCAATCAGTACCCAATTGCACGTTTTTAATACTGAGTAGAGGAGGTTTAATGTTCAATGAAAAATGTCTTGATGCTCAATTATTTTCATATGCTCAATCGATACTGATGTTATGCTCATTTTTAAAATGGCATATCAATGCATATTTCAATTATACCATATTACATTAGATTAACATATTGAACTTCACAGAAATTGATTGTAGATATAATTTAATATGTTTCTATAAAAGAAAAATATAAAAAGAAAGTGAATTAGAAGATATGAAGCAGAGATTGTGATGTTCAATATTAGACTCCTAATACTCAACAGAATAGGTTTAGGGCTAATTAAAAGTTCATTAATGCTCACTTAAGAGAAAACGTTTTTTCATCTCAATATAGGAGGGTTGATGCTCAATGAAAATGTTGTGACGTCCAACTAACAAATCTTACGATTTTCATACTTATGCACATTTTGAAAGTTGCGTGTGCTCATTTGATACTGATATTATGCTCATTTTTTTAAAATATCATATTACTTTAAATTCGCATATTGAAGTTTATAGAAGTTGATTATAGATATAATTTAATAAGTTTTTATAAAAAAAATAAGAAAAAGAAAGTGAATTACAAAAATGTCACCATTTTTTTGTTGTGATATCAACTTTTTTGTAATAATAGGGTGCACATTAAAATTGGACTATTGCTCATTAACAGTACACTAATGCTCATTTAGCAAAAATCACGATTTTCACATTAATTACAAAAATGACACCGAATGCTACATTAGTTACATCTAGTAGATCTCCAATGCTACAATGTGCACGGTGCACATGTGGCATGAGAGAGATAGACACAAAAGATTGATTTTATGACATTTCTCTCTCCATCTTTCCATGGTCTTATGTGTTTTTGGTAAGTTTTCCCTGCAATGTCAACCACAGTGTCTACATCTAGACATTGTGTTTGACATTGTGAAGAAAAACTTACCAAAATGATATAAGATCCTTCAAATAAGGAGAGAGATATTCTATTTATTGTTTTTTCATTGGCTATCTCTCATGCCACATATGCACCGTTAACGTTTTAGCATTGAAGATGCTAAAACGTTAACCAATCTACTAAATGTACATATTATAGAAAGAAGTTTATTTTATATTCAAATGAGTATAACGATTAAAAAAATGAGCATACACAATCGATTATTTGAACACATTAGCGAATTCAAATGAACTTTTGAATTTTTTGATGCTCATTTTGTAAGTTATGTATGTTCATCTGGTATTAGTTTTGTGCTCATTTTAAAATGTTATATCAATGTATATTTTAAAAGTATCATATTACATTAGATTCATGTGGAAGTTGATGATAGATACAGAAACACAGACCATGATACTCATTGCATGTTCTAATACTCAATAGAGGAGTTTTGATGCTCAATAAAAATGTTTTGATGCTCAACTAAAAAAAACTCATGATTTTTATATTAATGCTCATTTTGTAAGTTACATGTGCTCAATTGATACTCATGTTATGCTCATTTTAAAAATGTGATATCAATGCATATTTGAAAAGTACAATATTACATTAGATTCACATACTGAAGTTCATAGAAAATGATTATAGATCTAATTTAATAATTTTTTATAAAAGAAAAATAAGAAAAAGAAAGTAAATTAGAAAATATGAATCTGCTCATTGTTAGACTCCTAATGCTCAATACAATATAATTCATGCTCACTAAAACTGTCATAACGTTTTAATATGAACACTATTACGTATGGACTATTGAAATGAGTTTTTTATATACTAATATGAGCATAATGTTTAACATAAAAGTGAATTGATGTAATATTATGAAACTAACAAAATAAAGTTTGTCTTAAACAGCATATCATGAAATATAATGTTGATGAATTTGTTATAATTCTTATAGATATATTTATTGATAATTTATTAAATAATTTATTCAAAAATTGAAAGGGTCAATTTGATATTTATTATGAATTATAAATATATAGAAAAACAAACGAAAATAACATGAACAGAAATCTTGGGCCATGAGTTGTGGTGAAATACGTAGGTTACGTATGTAGCAGGCACAAGGATTAAATAAAAGCTGATTAAATAGGATTGAAAGTTGGGAAAAATAACAAAAAAAAACTGGCTGTACGGTTCCCACCCGTACAGCTCGGGTGTATCGTATACAAATCCGATTTTTTCAATCCTTTTTCCATATTTGTATTTTTTTGATTTGCGGATTATTTTATACCATTGAAAAATGACATTATGATTAATATTTTAAATTTTTTAAGCTTAAATATATATCTACATATATATATATATATATATATATTTATTTAAACACACACACATATATATGATAGTTTTGTTTCTAGGATCTTACGATTCGAGTTACGATCTCCTAGACCCTCTCCGATACGAGCTAGGATCTCGAGTTTAACAACCTTGGTTAGGATTACTCTGAAATAATCGATGATGATTGAGATTATTATGAGCAGACCGCCAACAGTTGAGATTAGTACTATCAAATTTTTCCTATTTACTAAACATTTTTTGTACAGCTGATTAAATCATTTCAATATTCACCAGATATCAAACCTAATTTACTTTTGACTTACGTATGTATTTTCTGTACATAAAAACAAAATAAATTTTAACCAAAAATATTTTATAATTAAAAATGTTACTCCGTATGTTTTGGTGGTTCCATCGTGCAAATAGCTTGATTGAATACTAAGTTAACGAATGTGCAGAGTTAGAATACATCATTAAAGTACAATGCACTCCTAAGAGCATCTTCAATGCTACGATGTGCACGGTGCACATGTGGCATGAGATAACCACATAAATATTAGTAAATAAATTGTTTCACTCCTTATTTAAATAGTTTTGTACAATTTTGGTAAGTTTTTCTCCACAATGTCAAGGAGACCGTCTAAATGTTGACATTACAGTTAACATTGCAGAGAAAAACTTACCAAAATTGTATGAAATCATTCAAATAAGGAGAGAAATAACTTATTTATTAATATTTGTGTGGCTATCTCTCATGCCACATGTGCACCGTGCACATTGTACCATTGAAGATCTCTAAGCTAACCCACAACTGTGGGGTTATACATTTCCAGTACCTTTACAAACAAAAGTCTAGCAAAAACTTGATTTAATCCTTCAACATTTACAAAGTCATACAAACAAAGGCTGGCAAAAACTTGATGTAATCCTTCAATATTTACAATTCCTAAAACACATCTCAAATAATTATAAAACCACAGTATAGTACCTCATACAATTCCTAATTAATTACGTTAAAACCATATTTTCAAATTATTGAAACCATAATACACAAATCTAACTAATTTTAAAAAATAATGCTAAGTAGAAAGTTAAATTTAATAATGAAGAGTGCCAATTTGATAGACTAAATCTGAAATCCAAATGAACTATTCGATTTCAAATATATAGGGTAGCAGAAGAGGTTTTATTTCAGAGATATGTATTCAAAGATATGTACCTGCGTCGATGCCTGATGACGATGTCCGGTCAGAGAAGCAAAATATTTGAACTGATTTGGTGTGAAGACGACGATATTTGGTGAAGATGGGGAAGAAACTCCATCGATGAGCACGGCGTTTTTTCTTTGATGCGCTAATGCTCAGAAAAGAAGAATACTGGTGGACTGTGGACAATGGAGCATTTGTTTTAAATATCTCCCCTTACTAAAAATCGTGTGTTTGAAATATGCACAGAAATTAAGGAACCATAGATTAAGAAAAAAATGGCAATGTTTTGGTGACATCCAAACGGGAAAGATAACAAATTTATATGGGATGGAGGGAGTATAAAATACTCTGTATAATCATACCCACCACTTTGTTTAAAAGTGGGGGCCACCTTTAGTTTTTGCAGAAGTTCGGACACAATTCCTATTCGGCCTTCCGGATGTGATCAACACTCTATATACTCCATGTGTATTTATGTATGCACAAATATTCCTGTCCGGCCAGGCCGGACACGAGGGTGGTTCGGTCACCTCAATTTGAGGTGGTTTCCGTTGGTTTTTTTGCTGAAATTTTTCAGGTATGTTCTCCAATAGGTGCAGTTCATCCATACCAAATTTGAGCAAAACAATCATTTGGGAAGGTCGTCAAATGATTTTTTCAAGATAACTGCGTTTTTTTACTCCAGGGGGTCTGGGGGAGGGGGTTGGGGGGCTGGAGTAATCAGGGCTGAAACTCACTGCGTTTTATATGTATATTCTGGCGCATTTATCTTTCAAAAATCATTTGACGACCTTCCTGGTTGAATTTTTTGCTCCAATTTGATATGGATGAACTATACTTGATGAAGAACATACACAAAATATTTCAGCAAAAAATATCACCAGAAACCGCCCCAAATGGCGGAGGCCGGACGGGGCTCTTGTCCGGACCCGCCGGATAGGAAATGGACTCTGTATGTATGTATATATATAAATATGTATAAATATATAGTAGTGTTCCTGTCAGGCCGGCTTGACAGGACTCGTCAAACGGCCGAGGCCATTTAGAGATGTTGGTCACTGTTTCAGAGATAATGATTTAACAGCAATGATATAATAATACAGTAATACAAACAAGGGATCAGATAATGATATGAAGAAGATGATCGGTGAAACCCTCTTTGATATACCGTGAACTATTACAGAATGATGAGCGCTAAGGCTGATAGTTCGAATGCAAAAGTTAACGCAAACCTAAGCCTTACGCGTATATTTATAGGCGAAGACAGGTTTGCGTAAAGGCTGTTAAGCCAGGTATATGGGTCTTACAACTTAGGCCCCATTACCTTTACTACTCTAATAAATACACACAATTAATACATCAAGGAGTAATAAAGGCTATCCTAAGACAAGATTCTTGACAAACTTGATTCACAATAAATATTCTTCAACAATCTCCCCTTTTGTGATCAAGTGCCGTCTTGCTTTCTTTCTGAGCTCTAAAGTAGTTTTTCCTGTGGTTTTTAGCGTGTGCTCATATTGCCTGAGGATGTTTCTCTTTTCTAAGCGTTCATCAATAGCTTTCAAAATCAAAGTCAGCACTTCATGCTCCTTTAGAGTATATGTAGATGCATCCACAAGTCTTCTGTCAAGCTCTTCCATTATTTTCCGTAGCTTCTCTTGAATGATTTTCAAAGTCCCATCACAGAATTTGTGAATCTCTTCAACCACCATCAGGCATTTTTCATTCTTGTGGCCTGGTTCAGATAGACTACTGCAGGTGGAGTGAAGAAGATGTGATAAGCAGGAAAGTCCTCAAGTTCCGGACCATACAGTTTTGGCTGAGATAGATTCGCTTTTGGGATATTATTCTCGAGAGACATTTGGAAGTCATGGGAAGCGTTGACTCGGACTTGTCTCAGCATGAAATGCTTGATTGCTTCAAAACCTTCTTTGTAAGTTCGATTGTTTCTGACCGGTAGGTATATGTACGCCATAAACATCCCATAGATATCATCCATTTTGAGCATGATGAAGTCATTTTCTTGGCATACAAATTCGCAACCGTCAGTGCGATGGACTTTGTAGGAGTAGAATCTGATTGTATGATGATCTTCGGCATTGACTTGTAGTATTTCATGAACAGGATGTGTACTAGACTTTAGATCTTTTTCCAAAAGTTGTCGTTGAGGCCCTAAAGATCTATGAAGTAGCACGTGTAGGTGACCTCCTGCTTCTTTTCCTTTCAAATGTGTAAGTCCATGCATCCTTAGTTCCCTTAAAGGTCTGACCTTCTCCGGTTTACTCCAGACACGCTTTCTGAGTTCCTCTTGGAAGGGTGCTTTGATTCTAACGTTCTCCCAAGGTTTCTCATTCTTGGGAAGTCGTCTCACCGTTTGTCTGATTATTGATTCCAATTCCTTGGGAGTTTCTTTATAATTTTCCCCTTCCTTGAGTTCCTCTTCATCAAGTCGGATGATGTTTGTTGCACATTTGGCGATTAGTTCTCGCAAGTACCAGCTCCGCTGCATGTCTTTATTTTCTTCGTCACTATGAATTTGATCACACTCCGTCCATTTCTTAGGCCACTTGTCATGTATAATGATGTCTTCAAGTTCATCGTGCATTGCCTCTGATGAAGGATTTCCCATTGTCATCAGTTCTAAATTATGTTCTCACTGATGGCCTGATTGTGAGGATGTACCAGAGGTAACATCAACAGGACTTCCATCCCCTCCTCGAACAATATCTCTCGAAGATACACCTCGAGATGTTTCGTCTAGCTCGACCAGGCTAGATAGGTTGGCTAGGTTTCGGTTTTGGTTGGAGGCGGGTGGCTATTGGTTGGTTGAGGATTCAGGTTGATCGGACTGTGGAAGATGGCTGGTGGAAGCAGCTTGCTCAAGTGTTCGTGGTCGCTTGTTCTCCCCCTCATGAGGTTCCGAATCGTCGGGACCCTCATGTGAACGTTTGTGACCATGAGGACTATCACGACAAGTGCTTTTGGTGTCAGAAGTACCTAAAAGAGCACGAAGGATGGTTTTCTGGTAAGGGGTAAGGTCTTTGGCATCAATGGAAAGAAGTTTGGTGAGCATAGCAGATGCCAGGTCGTCGAAGGATAGTGTCATGAGGTCAAGGCGAGGAGTGGTCGGGATTGGGGATGATACTAGTTCGGTATCATAGGTTCCCCGAGAGGGTTGAAGACTGGTGGGTTTAGTGGCAGAGGTGTCAGAAATGATTTGGGTAGTTTGAGGTTGGGAGTGAGAGAATATTGGCTCAGGTGAGGGTTTTGGTGCGGGTTGCTCAGTCTGAACCGTTGGGGTGTTCTTGAGTTCCTGTGCAAGAGCGGTCATTGCGTCTTGCACCCATGGTTTAATGGTGTAATCCATGAAACGATTCAGAAGAGCAGTGACGTCTTCAAGGGTTGGGGTACCAGTTACAGGGGTTGTAATTGTTGTCACAACATCAATGAAGAGAGCTGATGTGTGGCCTGCGTTGGATGATGGAATCATTGGTTGCGTTGCAGGGCTTCTGACCATCATAGTTTGCACTCAGGTCGTTACATCCAGGGTGTGTGTGTCTGTCTGTGCAGTAAGAAGTGTAGGTGTCCTAGAAAAATAAAAAAAATTGGAATAGTGACACCAAGACTCGATGTGTGCGAAGGAGGGGTTGTGGCCTTGGGCGGTTGGCCACTAGTTTGCTCAACTGATCCAGAAGGGACCAGAGAGGTGGGTAAATCCCGTGCTGTGAAACTTTAGCCTGTTGGGAGGCTAAAGAGTGGCTAGGAGAGGGCTGTGTGTGCGCAGTTGAGCCCGATGTTGGGGCTTCTACTCGGGAACTGAAAAGATCGGCTCCTGTACTTAGGGATGTGGCTCGGCTTATGTGGATGAATGGGTCACAATCGGCAAAAATGGTCATGTTGTCCTCGTCTATTGTGTTCCTTGTGACGATTCGTTTCTTCGCAGGCTTGGACGACGGAGGAACATCATTTTTGAGCTTTGCACGTTTCTCTCTGATGACGATGTCTTCAGAATTCTTTACCACATGGTCACCCTCATCATAATCCGATTTGGATCGGTTGATTTCATCTTGTACACTCTGTGACTGCTGAGTCTCCTTTATAGTGAAAGTCTTGGGGCGAGTGGCTATAACCGTTTGTGCCTCTTCAACAGTGATCTTTTTGGGAGGCTCAGCAATCATCTTCCCTTTGCGGATCAGGGCGTAGGTAGCCTCAATACCATTATCGTCATCATCATCATCCTCGTCATCACTTCGGATGGTCACGCTATCGGATGCCTCATCGTCAGCCTTATTGTGGGCCGGGTTGAGCGATTCATCGACAAGTTCCTCAGCGTTCGTCGGTTTGCCCTCAGCCGTCTGAGTTCTCTCAGAAGAGTTGTCAGACTTTCCTTCATAGGGCCGACGTGCCACTTGTTTCTGTGGCTTCGGGGATCTCTTGGGACCCTCACATGCACTCGGTTTAGTCCCCGAGGTAGGTCCAAGTGGGTTTTGCTGAACCATAGGGACTGTTCTTTCAAGGTCGGTTTTGTACTGAGCCACGACTGGATTGTTTTGATTGACCAGATGGAGCGAGTAGTCCGGGATTCACATTCCAGGTTCAACATCTTTGTCCTGCTTGAAATATTGGAGCTTAGGGGCTGCAAAGTGTGGCTCATTATGGCGTCAAGGAATGCCCTGATGTGCCGTCATGGTTTCGTGGATGATGAGGCCCGGCCATCTGGCATGCGGAACTGTGCCCCTCTTGTTGTTTTCCTTGGCCTTCAAAAGATCCATAAGCTCAGTGAAGAATAGTGCGGCCATGTCGTAGTTTCTGTTGAATCCAATGCCATGGAAGATCTAGAAGATTTGCTTGTTGCACTTGTCGAATCCGGCATGCTTTGGTGAGAGACACTTGTTGATCAGGCCGAAGAGGCTCTTCCATGGGTGTCTGAGATTGGCCCCACAGAAGTTGGATAGCTGAGGAAGCAGGAATCATATCCCAGACTCTCTATGTCCTTGAGCATATCTTTAATAGTTGGAAGAGGATCATAGGAGTCATGTGTCGGCAGCTCTAATGTGGTCTGTAACGTTGATGGCGTCAGGATCACTCTCATGTTGTTGAGCTTGGTCATAATTTTAGAGCGATCCTTTTTTGATTCGCTATGCATGTGTCCCCAGAACTGTTGTAAGTATATCTCTGGTACCGGGTGAGCTTTATTAAAGGCGGTCCAGAGATAATGTCCTATGAGAATTGTCGGGGTTATGGGGTCCTAGCACTTGAACACTTTGAGGTCAAGCTGAAAGTTGTTGTTGATCACTTTGATCCAGTCCCCCCTTGGATAAATGGTGTCGTCAAGGGCTACATGAGTGGTGCCTGACATAATGAACTGAAAAGAATGGGGTCAGCACATTAGTCCTTTTATTTTTGGTCTTTTTCTGAATTTTTCAGATGTTTTGGGATTTTTCAAAAATTTGAAAGCAGGTGGATGGTTTTCGAGATCTGGGGGTCGAGGTTTAAATCTCGGGGTTTAAATCTCGAGATCTGAATCTCGAGGTTTAAATCTCGAGATCATGATCTCGAGGTTTAAATCTCGAGATCACAATCTCGAGATTTGAATCTCGAGATCTAAATCTCCAGATCTCGATCGCGAGATTTTAATCTCGAAATCTTGATCGCAAAGATGAAACGACGAGATCGAGAACTCAAAATCAAACCTCGAGAATCTGATTCTCGAGTTCACCTCTGAGATTAACGATGAAAACCACCTGCAAAAGCACAAAAACACATATACAATGATAATCAAAAACGTTTCAAGTTCTTCGTTGAAACATAATTTCGAGAAAGGTTTTTGATCCAAAAGATGTCGAGAAGAGACAGTTCGATCCAAAACCAAGACGTTGGTTCTAGATCAAGAGAAGCGTTTCTACCTTATGAAAAGGTTTGAGACGAAGGAGAATCTGTAAGAGGGATTAGAGAGAGAAGCCTTTAGGATTTCGAGATTGCTGAAGCAAGAAGCGGTAAAATGCGAGAATGATGAAAGCTTATCTCGAAATCCTTTAATTTATATGCGAGAGAAAAATAACGGTGGGCCTTGTGAGAAACGGTTTTGGCCCAAGGGTTGTGTTGGGCTCGGATTTAAAAAAGGTTTAAGGCCCAAAAGTATTTATGTAATTCAAAATTGTACGCACAAAGTCTCACACTTATCTCCCTTGTTTTGAGATTTTTCCTGGTTTTCTCTCCCCCCCCCCCCCCGAAGAATGCAACTAATGCAGTATATACAATGCAACTCACACACACTGTTTTTGTATTTTTCACTTTTTTTCTTCCCCCTAGATGAATGCAACTCACGCAATATACAGATGCAACTCACACACTGTTTTTGTATTTTTCACTTTTTCTCCCCCTTGATGAATGCAACTCACGCAATATACATATGCAACTCACACACACTGTTTTGTGATTTTTTTTTGCTTTTTCCCCATTCAACACATGCAACTCACGCACACATGAAATATGATATTATTTCAATTTATTTTCATCCTTGGAGTGTGTATTTGTTGACTTTCAGCTCGATGGAGAGTGTACGCATCAAAAGCCTCCTTGATAATTAGCACAAAATGATTGCTCACGGCTTATCTTCATATCCGCCATGTGTGTGGAGCAATCAGATCAGTTACCACACATGACGGACACAACGGAACATATCAAGTGATTTTCGGCACCCATTTCCAGATGGGTCCTTTGGCAGCAGCAAACAGCTTTTTCATTTTCTGTTTGATTTGGAAACCTAGGCTAGCTGGCTGAGAAGCGTTTAACAGTCTTAATTTTTCAGCTTCAGCCTTAGGAACCCATTGTTGTTTGAACTTTGAAGCAGAAGAAGTTTCACCAGTAGTGAGTGAATGTTCAAACGGGTAGTCTTTGAGGATTGGTTCTTGAGTGAGTCTTCTCAAGTGTTTGAGGGAGTGAAACTTGAGGGGATACTTTAGACATGGTAAATGATACTCCCTCTCAACATTCGCTTGAGCGGAAGCTGATTTCTTCGGATTTGGATGAACATTCACACATCTAGCTTTCATGGAGGAGACAGCAGATTCGGAAGAGTAGACTTTTCTTGACTTAGAACTGTTCAGAGAAGAAGAGCTTGAATGATGATTTTGAACGAGTGTTTCCTTCTTTCCATAGAACAAAGCACTTGAAAAATGACTTCTATTCCTCTAACGAGAATCTTCTTCCTTCTTTCTCCTTCTCAACTTCTCTTCAATCCATTCTCCTCTTCTTTTCACTTTTATCTTCAAATGACAATCATACACCATCTGAGAGTGAAAATGATGGTACATTGTCCTCAAAGAGTAGAGATAAAGTTTCTAATGTTGATGCCTGTACTGACTTCAAGAAACTTGAATGGAGGGTCGGGATGAGATTTGAGAATAGAGATAAATTCAGAGATGCAGTGGCAAAATTTGCAATTACTCAAGGTAGGAACTTGAAAATAAATGTCAGCTCTAAGAATAGGCAACAAAGGATAGGTGCAAAGTGTGTGGAAGAGTGTCCATTTTGATTGTATGCCAGCTCGGATTCCAAGAGAGCTTCTTTTGTAGTGAAGAGCGTGAAGGGAAATCATACTTGCAATAGGAACATGAAAAAAATAGACAGATGAAGGCAACATGGGTGGGAGGCCAATTCTTAGAAGTATTCAAGTCCAGGCCTCATTGGCCTGCAAAAGAAATCACTGAAACAATTAGAAGAGCTTATAAAGTCCTTGTTACGCGAGACTTTGCATATAAAGTAAAATATCATGCTCATAGGAAGCTTCATGGCAGTATGAAGGAATATTACAACAAGGTTGGACGGTATCTGGAAGCTCTAATCCAAGCAAACCCACAAAGCCAGTTTAAGCTCCTCACAGATCCATCAACAAGAGCATTCCCCCCACTTTTCAGAGATTTTTTGTGTGTTTTAGTGGCCTAAAAGAGGGTTGGTTGAGTGGAGGTAGTAGGGATGGATTCGGGCCGGGTCGGGCCTAGGCCCGGTCGGGCCGCCGGTTCGTATCACATGGGCCCGGGACTGGCCCGAGGGTTGGACGGGTCCAGTTCGGGCCGGGCCACCCGCCCGGGTCCGGGCCGGGCCGGTTAAATATATATTTTTTAATTTATATTTTATACTTTATAGTTTTATACAAGTATTAAAAAACAAACTTCAAGTGCATTTATTTGAAATGAAATAGGAACTACATTTGAAAATTAAATAGGAACTATAATTGTTTTTAATCAGAATCTCCGGCATAGGTAGAACCACCCTCTGTTGTAGATTCATCCATAAAGTGTTGGAATGGAGTGATGTCAATTTCTTGAGCTCTACGTGCTACTTTCAACCAATCATGGTAGCATATAAAATTTCATACATTATTTATGTTCGGTTTGTTCGGTTCGGTTCAGTTTTGAAGGGTAAAAACCAAAACCGAACCAAACTACTACAATTCGATTCGGTTTTTTACATTCGGTTTCGGTTTTTAGCAGTTCGGTTTTATTTGGTCACTGTTCGGTTTAATTTGATTCGATTTTCGGTTTTCGGTTTTTCGGACCCAACCCTATCCGAAATACATCCTAGTCATTCATATCAAGGTAATGAATACTTTTCCTCTTCCACAGTTTGCACGTAAGTGAAAAAGACTTATATGACCTTGCTCCACATGAAACGTAACACAGTTTTTTTTGTAATTATTACAATTGCATGCTGAATAGCATAATCACAAATACTGAGCCTCCCACATATATATTTTGTAAGTCCCACTTACGTTTATATTTTGCGGTGACAATGTAAAGAGTATGTACCGATGTACCCGCTAAAGTGCTAAACTACTATAGTACTATGCCTCTGGATTATAAGCACCTTGGGAAAAACAACCAAACTAGGAAAGTGGGAAATCCAGTACTTTATCAATACAAATTTAAGTGCTGCATATTTTCTATAATAGCGCAGCCTCAGTCGATTCTTGCAACCACACTTTCTAAGTAGTAAAACCTGCCTCAGCCTCTTGTTCATACTGTTCGTAAGGCTTTGATCCAATCAATTTCCACATGAAAATCTCCAGGGCCAGACCTCGCACCTGGGACTCCACCTTCTGCATTGACAGATAGAGCCATAGCCAGAACTCGGGATGGATTCATCTCCAACTTTGCATTTATTATGTTTCCTCTCCATGTCGGCATGTACATGGAAAGTGGTATCTGTAGCGAAAATACAAGAGCTTAAATTGGCAACACGTAACTTACTTCCATTTGGAAGAAAAAATTATTATAATCATAGTATGTATACGGTTCATGCCAATTCTTTATTGTTATTATTAGTATTAGTATTATTACTACTACTACTATTTTGCGTATGCAAAAACCTGGATGGATCAAGGCAGGTCGGGAAACTACCACCTTTGCACAATCCAACATTTTTCATTTCCATTCTCCCTTTCATTTCTTTAAAATAAAATACAGATAGTACGGGGGTATTCATAAGAGCCGTGGCTTACATAAACAGATCCCTTAGCCCTTAGGACATATTCCCATGGATGATTCTAGAGGGCTTTGGAGCATTCATGTAAGCCCTCTAGATATCATGTATATATTTATAACAAATCTCAAGCATATCTCAAGATATAGACTTAGCCTTCCAAATCCTTCCACATCCCAAACTGACCATTACAAGGTCTAATCAAGGAATCTGTTTCATGGAATAGGGAGCTCAAGAAAGCTATTGAAAAAGTATAAGCATCTAAATTATGCCGCTGGCCGGCCAAAGTGCCCACAACAAAATTAGCCTCACAGAGAAAATGAGAGAGAGAAGTTTGTGGGACATGCCTTAGCTATGTACCAGTCGTCTTTAGGTACAAAAACAAATGCCTGCCATGAGTTATCTTCCTCTTGCCCAGGAGAATTCACCCAATTCTGGGTGTAGATCTGCAGTTATATGTAGGAAAAGATTATAATTTTGTGAAAGCTTATTGATTAATAAATTTTGATGAGAAGGTTAACTAAAATAATGAGTGCTCCATATAAATGAAGGTTCATCATTTAAATGTTAAAGTACTCTAGCAGAACTATGCACACAATGGGGGGCTCACAGTAGAGATGTAGTTCCTCCCATCTCCTTTCAGTTTGACTGCTATTGTGTCGTATGCATCCAAGTCGATGAAGCCATCAAACTGTGAAGCAAAAATTAAGTATGAAAATGACAAGAAAAACAAGACTACTAACTCATTCAGTAGACCAATAAAAAAACATTATGATTGCACATCCAGGAATACTACTAATGAAAAGACAGATTTTGTAGTCCAACAAAGAATAAGAATTGCATGTAAACCAAACAACACTGAAGTATTTTTGAAGATCAAGGATAAATAAAAAAGCATGGAGTAGTTTTCACTTCTTACATAAGGAAGAGATAAGCACGGCAAGGATTAAAATCAGTTCATTACAGAAAACATCTCCATAATAAAGACAGAACTCATGAACAGTGCATATCAAAAACTAGGTAAAGTAATATATGTACCTTTTTAGACCTCATTCCGCAAAAGCCACTTCTAGTCATGTTCCCGGTTGAACCCTCGACAACATCCAGAGAGAGGTTTCCAGAAAATATCCCTGTCCCAATTGCCAAAATAACAGGTTTAAAAGAAGAAACAAGAGTGGAGTGTTACTTTCTTTTTTATTGCTGCTAATATATCAGGGTGTGCTCAATTGCACCTTTAAGGTTTAGTGTACAGCTCGTCAAAAATAATGATTTTAAGTTATATTGCAATAAGTTGAGATTAGTGGAGGAACTGAAGAGGCCAGGTAGGACGGGAAGTGGGGACTAGCATTTCTAGGGGTCTATCTAATTGCAGAAATTTGGTAACTCCTTTTACTTGCCTCAAGTAACAAATTAACAATAAACATTCATAAACAAGAAGTAGCAACAGATCCCAAGAATCATAAACATTCTAGCTTCTAAGAAAATCAATCACCTAAATATTACGTAATACTTAATTTTGAACTTTTTTCCTAAACTAATCTTCACTGATTTAAGTCCCAAACTAGACCAGACTTTAATAAACTAGACCGGACCAGACTTCGACAATTGTAAATTACACATAGAACAAACATGTACCTGACCAGACTAATTCAGACTAGACCAGACTTAAACAGAAAATTTCTCTTAAGTTAGGTTGTCACTTAAAATTTACCATAACCTAGGTAAACCTCAATCCAAACGGAGATGAGTGTTTTCACATGTTAATTTTAGATAATTAAAGTAAAAAAAAATGTATAAAAAGTATAGAGATTCAAATGATGGGCCTGATGAACATGACTGTGGGTGAAGTAAAGAAATTCCCTTATCACTCTTGGCCTGTTGCAGCTTGCCCACAAACTGAAAATCTTGGTCCTGCAATGTTACATGCACTGTTGGAATCTCGTGCAAGGTCTAGGGAGAAAGAACGAAAGAGGGTATCTCGGATTTATGTTCAATGAGGAATTAACAGTTTCTGGCCTAGTCAAGACAACCAAGAATTAATTTTTAAAAAAATTCTTAATTAATCTATATTGAGGACCCTTATAAAGTTATGTAGCTACAGCAAGAGCCCTCATCATAAAAGGGGTAATAAGAAACTGATTGAAACTGAATAAAGAAAATCCAATAGTGATATGAATAGGATATTACTACTAACTGATGATGATGATATTAGTAATATTACTACTACTACAACTAATATGAAGAACAACAATAAAAATAACAATAATATATTAATATTAATAAGTGTGTTTAATAATAATCAAAATAATGAGTGTGGTAAAGACACTAGGTCTAGTAGGGAGAAAGAACGAAAGAGACCAGATCAGAGTTGTTGTTGTTATTGTTATTATTATTATTATTATTATTATTATTATTATTATCACCATCATTATGCAAACGAAAGGCATGGGTGGCTCAGTTGGAGGTCTTAGCAGCAGCGGCAGGGTGATCGCCCCTGGTGCGGGCAAAAAGGGGATCTGGTGGTGGCAATTTTTGTGCAGCCATTGCAATGGCAGATTTGTCTCAAGAGTTGGCATCTTTTTTTTCTTGTGGTGGTGATGGAGTTAGCGGCAGCGGCAGTGTTAGTTTTACTGAAGGCAGCAGTTGTTGGATATGCAGGTAGCAGCAGCGATCTTGATGGTGGAGGCGGGTAGCATCTAGACTTATGACCACAACAGAGCAGATAGCCGTGGAGGTGGATACCCCAGTTGTGATGGGCCTATTACCAAAGGGGTCTAACTACAAGAGGAGGAGAAATAGCATTTTGTGTGGATTAGAATCCAAAGGAGAAAATATTACTGCATTCACACATTTCAGTGGCGAAAGGATTTTGAATCCAAATACTATCTTTTTTTTTTTTTTTGGGGGGGGGGGGGGGGGGGGGGGGGATTTATCCTTACCAACAGCACTAGATCCATCACTTGTATCTTTAATCTCTAGAGAAGCAGATGACATACCTGAAACGTTATCAATACCGGATATATTCAGATATGATTCTAAGAAACAAATTGCATATGGTAGAATAGTGAATATAGGACTGTATGGTATCAGTGAAATTGAAAGCAGGTCATGGTGTAATATGAACTAATAAAACCCAATTAAAAGAATTACTGAAAGTAGTTGGAACGGCACAGCATGAGAACAAAAGCTCAATAATGTTCATCTATACTTATTTATGTATGAGAAAATAGCTTTCAGAAGCATAACACAATATAAGAAATATATTATAAAAAAAGGAGTACCGGTATAGCCTGCTACTCTACTATACTAGCACATGTATTTCAAGCAATGTAGAATCTAAGAGAAAATCACCCAAGTAAATGCACCTCCATATTCAGAATCTGAATATAAATGCCACTTTTTCAGTTCAGCTTTTGAGTTGAAATTGAAAATATATCTTTCACTTGGAGGAGTTAAGTCTTCAAGGTTCCATGTAAGCGCTGCAAGTTGTAGATTTAAACAATAAAACTAAGCATATCAGCAGGAAAAATAAAGAGGTTAATGAATGTGTGTACCAACTAATTAAGGGTGGGTATGGTTGGGTTGGACTGAGGTCAGTTGGTTACTTAGTTCAGTTTTTTACCCAACCCAAGACAAAACTAACTTTTATGTAACATAATCCATAATTCCATATATGTTTTGAATGCTGAGATCAAACCATAACCAAATTAACTCAGACCAAATAATGTAAAGTATATTATAAGCTTGATTTGAAAATAATGTTCTATGACCTTAAAGACATTAAGTCTTGTAGTACCTAAGAAATGGAGATGAAGAGCAAAAACTAAAAGCGACCAAAATTATAGTCATCTACTTATCTAAGATTTAAGATAAGATATAACAGTAGTAAACAAATTACTGCAGTAAAAATTAAATCACTCAAATATAAATTTCTGGAATCACAACTCAAAAACAGGACGAAATGCAAGTAGGCTATACTCTTAAAGACTTGATATGTCATAGAATATGATAGTGAGTCAGATTGGATTGGATTGGATTGGATTGGATTGGATTGGATTGCATTGCACTCGACTAGACTGGACTGGACTGAACTGGACTGGATGGACTGGACCAGTGACACCAAAACGAATGCCCAAGCACAGTGCACAAATACCCTCATCGATGATAAGAATATGAATTAAGTTACAACCATCTACCTGTGCCTTAATGTAAGAAACCATTACTTGATGGCAAGATGTAAGGAGGCAGACTGAGAAACATAGTAATAATAATTGCAAATTGTATCTTCAACAGAATAAGAACCAATTGTTGTCAGTTGCATTAGTGCATAGAGTGAAGAAGTAAATAGACCAAGTTCTGATATAACTTGCCTCTTTTAGTTGTAGCAAGGGATGCTTGCAATAGTGAACGAAACCTGGACATTTTAGCCCCCTAGATTCCTGATGAGTTCCAATACAGATTAAAATATCCATTGACACAATGTATTACTCAGTCTAGAAAACCATCATCCAAGTACACTAGTTATACACAACAGAAGCAAAACCAAATCCAAAATCTATAAATAGTATGGCATCAAATTTGAATTATTTTCATAAAGCTACATTTAGATATCAAAATTTACTTACTGCACATCATTTATATTTTGAAGCATTTACAAAGTACCATTACGAAGTTATGAAGCATCTATGAATACAACAAACAACAACATTACTCTAGTGCAGCAAACGCTCCGACCTGCAGTGGGGTAAGGGGGGTCAGATGTACGCAGAATTACCCATGAACTAAAGGCCTAAAGCACATAGAGACGGTTTCTGGATGACCCATGATGAAAATCGCGTCGAAAATTACATGTACTATCTGCTGCTTCATAACAAAGAAGCACAAACAAATTAGTAAGCCATTTTGCTTTATTTCATCATATTCCGAAGCCAAAAAATAGTGAGTCTTTAGCTTCATTTGGAAATAATTGAAAATATGAGCATCCATGAAAATGTATTTAAAAAATAAACCATGATACTCGTTTAATCAGTTTCATTGAAAATACACAAAAGGTGTCATGGAGATTATGCATTGTGGTCCATGACTATGATGGCACAAAGTTCCACAATTTTAATAGAATTTTTTAAATTTCATAATGGAAGAGAAAAGAGTCGTATAAATGTAATAACGAGAAAGATGCTCACCACTCAAAACCAAATTCCATGAAAGATGAATTTTTCCAGTTGATAGGTTTCACATGGCATGACTGGAAAATGTACTGGAGAGCATTTGTTTTAGAAATGCTAGGGAGACATAAAAAATTGACATTATATGGAGATATTCCTTTGTGGCATGACACCTTGGGTAATGATCACATGTCTAACTTTTTATCACCCAATGAAGGTGTGTCACATAACGTCCAATTTTTAATTACTCTATAGCATATTATCATTACTCTTTGTTTTGACCTAACAGGTTCTCACATTAAGAACAACATTACCCAAGTGCCGCAAAATCTCCTGCTTACGGTGGGGTAAGGGGGCCGGATGTATGCGGTCTTACCCTTGTACTAAAGCACAGAGAAACGATTTTCAGATGACCCATAATGAAAATTGTGTTGAAGATTGCATGGACTGACTGTTGTTTTATAACAAAGAAGCACAAACAGTTTAGTTGACCATTTTGCTTTATTCCATCATATTCCCACGCTAAAAAATAGTGAGTCTTTGGCAGGGCCGGTCCTTAGAAAATGGAGACCCTGTGCAACAAATAAAAATTGGGCCCTTTTCAAGTTCCAAGTAAGTAATTTGTATTAAAATACAAGTTACTAATGAACACAATAACATAAATAAAAGTAGTCATTAATAAAATACTTTCATTTAAAAAGACAGCTTTTTCTGGCTTATTTAGAGGCAAAGTCATCTGCCAAATACAATTATTGAAATTCTCTTGTACATGTATAAAAATCTAGCTTAAAATTCAATTTACATTTTCGGTGAAATTATGAAATAATTATAATTTATAAACCTAAAGATATACTTAGTAGTTACGTGATAACATATTTACACCAATTTCTTAAATCTTAATTGAATAATTGTTAAACACGTTTATTCTATATTGCAAATAGGCACAACAATTAGGCAACAAGTAGGATAACAACATGAACAAACTAATTTCACTAATTGCAATTCAAAGAATCAAAGAAATAAAAAAATTATAGAACTTACGGCCCAGGGAAGGTGGACCGTCGGACTGGTAAGGCGTCGTGCACCCGTTTGGACGGACGGTACGCTCGTGATTTTAAAGGCTTGAGAAGGGACGTGGTTGCGCGGTGGCAGGCTAGAGGGCGTCGCTAGCTCGCTGCGAGGCGTCGGAGCTCGCAAGGGTGGATCCAGAAAGTCCCAGGGTGGGCTGGAAAAAAAATTGAAATACACATACATAATAATAAGTCAAGTTGTCAACACTTTAAATATTCATCAAAACATCATTTAAGTTGTGCCCTATGTGACTTCAAAGTATAAAATTCATCAATAATAGAATCTAAATCTATATTATTGACAAAGTCTCATTCAATGTAGATCATCAATAAATCGTAGGTATAAGTTCAGAACTCCCTTCACCAGTTTCACGATTCACTTTCGAAAAGAATGATGAAATCAACTTCTTCCCTTTCTTGGCCATGTGTTCATTATCCATTCTAAAAAACATTTCCAATATTGGTATAAATTAAAATACTTATATAAAAAATATACTTCGTAACTAATAAGGAAAAAACAAACATTGTACACTTGTACATAAAAGTAATTAGTATTCTCAATTTTCAATTGTATAATAACTAAATCATTTTCTACTCTTTAATTCTATCTTTAATCATTCTAAATTTATAATGAATTAAACACTATTTAATTATGTACTGAAAAATTCAATTAATAATCATAATGATTCCCTAATCCTAAAACTCTAAAATGCTAAAAATAATACTCCGTAATAGATTAATACACAAATACACAATAACTTATAACACATTCAAGTCGGCAATTGGAGTTTAGAAATAGAATTTGGAGAATAACACATTCACAATCTAACAACAAGAAAAAATTTAAAATCTAAAACAGAAATTGAATTTGGAGAATTGGAGACTTGGAGTTTACCTAGAGGGAGGCGCAGAGCCGCAGAGGGCCAAAGGCGGACAGGGACAGGCAGACAACGGTCGGACGGCGGACGAAGTAGGCGGCGCGGCTAATGTTCACGCAGGTTCACAACTCCTTCATCCTCGATTCCTCGTCGCAGGCTCCTTCGCAGACGGCAGTTCGCACTTCGTCTTCAAAGTTTCGTTCGCAACTCTCTAATTTGCTCAGTCAGTAGGCCGAGAAGCGCAAGTAAGGCTGGGATGTGGGCTGGAGCGCTGGGCTGGGAGTTAATAATGGGCTGGGCTGAGAATTAATTTTGAGATTGGCTCAGAATATAATATATACATATACTAACTAAAAACATTGGGCTGAGCTGAAGTCCACCCCTGCCCTCAAGTACATCCGCCCCTGGCCGAGCTTGTCTTCTAGTCTTCCGCACTCCGCAATTCAGAGTTCATTCGTAGCTCTATTTTTCCTATTCGCAGGTCATAGCAAAAAACCTGGGCTAAGTAATACTACTACTAATTTTTTTATTTTTGGGCCTTCTAAAATATTGGGCCCTGTGCGATCGGTCTGGGTAAACTTGCCCTGGGTCAGCCCTGGTCTTTGGCTACATTGGAAATGATGGAAAACAAGTTCTCACGTTTGCTTTAACTTTTGCTTTAAGTCTTAGAGAGTTTCACAAAAATTAAGATACCTCATAAAAAAGCTGATGCACCCTTATTGACAATGTATTCACTATATGTTTATTGATAATAGTTCGTAGATACCATCAAGTTTTCACTCAAATTATGTGCCTTTTGTCTTTGTAACTAATTATGATGAATTCCTTAATGATGTTTTTAAGAGTGCTAGTGAGGCAATTTGCAACCTCCATTTCTCAAGAAGTAACTAATAAAAGCTATTGTTCTCAATGCTCATTTTGTATATTACTAACCATTTGATTTAGAAAATGAGAAGTTATGTCTTCAATTCCTGAGATAAGATTTAATTTGCGGAAAAATAAATACTACCTACCACTTTCTATATTCAGTTTCGCAAGATGAAGTATCATGAAATTTTATTTGGAAAGCAAAAAATTTAATGAAGGATCAAGTCCACCACGTGGGGATTCATACCATCTTGATTCACCTAAATAGGGATCGTGTACCAGAATTGCGTTTGAGGGGGTTCTTTGAAAGGGCAAGCATCGTCGTCAGCTTTGGACATGCCCACTTCCACAAGGTTTCAGTTCGAGCCAAGCTTCCAGATCCACTCCCTTATGCATCAAGATCGTGTCCCCTCCTAAGATGCTCAAAGCCAGATATTCAAGTTATTCTACCAGGTTAGCCGCCGTTAGCTAAGATTGCAAACCCACAGCGGGTAGGTTCCAACCCTAAGATCCCAGGTGTATGCCATAATGAGTCTTTTCCCGTCAAAGTCCTAATCAAAGCAAGGCGAGCTTTTCTGACATCCTAGCCAGAGAAGAGCGAGTGAAAAAGATACTATACCCTTAACCATATAGTCGCCCCTTATAAAGAAATCTAAGGGGCTATATGGGACTTAGTATAAGTTCGTCGGGCTTTGATCCCATTCCGAAGGGTTCTGCTTTGAAATTGAAAGATGCATAAATATGATAAAATTGATTCAAACATTTTGACAAACATGTGGCAAGCAATTTACATCTTACCTGCTCCAATCTTCAAACTGCTTATTTACATTAAATTCTCGGGATAAACCCATTTCACAAAACCCATATTGCATTCTTATTTCAAATAAATTACAACTGCACGTACATATACAAACTTCCACAACAAATGGGAAATACTACCTTCTACTATCCTCTTTCAATATGTTGTCTTCATCCTTGCCATAATGAAAAGAGGAAGTGACGTAATAGCTCCACGGCCGGAGGTGGCAGAGGCGTGGGGTGGTGGGTTGGTTATTCTTTGCTTAGATCGTGGGGGTTTAGGATGTTTTTACTTGGACTGATGTCGTGGATGTGTGGTCTATTTTTTTTATTAATATCATTATGACTCGTTACCACAAACGTCACGAGACGTCGCTAGGGTTTAGATTTTTCTAACGACATAACACCTAGTAGAATTATCGATCGAAGACCTAAACTTAAAGACATCAACAAAATACAAAGAGGCGTAAACAAACATAGCGCGAAAATAAGATCATAAGAGCATTTCCATCCATGATACTCAAGTTTACGGCTTTTTATGGCTTCTTATTGTCATGTCACTTCCACATAAGATGATCTCAAATAATCTTCAAACCTATTAATTTCTCCTCATCCATGATCTTAATTTACCTAGATTTTTTGTGAAACATGCACTCAATTTCAAAATCTCTAACTTAAATGCACTTGCACACTCACATGCACTCCATATTACACTATGAGACATAAAAAACGTGTACACCATTATAAATTGTTGTATCTAATACTATATATTTTAAATTGTTGTATCTAATACTACATATTTTAATTTATAACATTTCAATAAATAACAATATATATTAGAAATATTTAACATAAGAGTAGATATACTAATAATTTAATTATTTAAAATTAAGGCATAAATGAGAGCTACATGAATGATAAAGCATAAATGAGAACTACATGACATAGAGATAAAGCACTATCCGTTAAATTTTCTTCAATTTTTTAACTAGTGCTTCACTAGAGCTATTAATTTTCTAACTACTGAAGTGATAGCACTATACGATGAAAGTGCTTCATTACTCTACGATTAGTGCTACGGAGTATTAATTTTTGGGAAAACTGTCAATTGCGCCCTCCTACTATGCGCGATCCGTCAATGGAGTCCCCGTACTTTGTAAACCCTCAATTGAACCCGCCAACAATGAAAATCCCGTCAATTAGGTCTACATAACCGGATGCTTCCCGGTTAGCCCGTTGCTCGCTCACGTGGACATCGCACATTGAGGTTCCATTGCTGACATGGATTTAAAATTTCCACATCACTTAATGAGTCTATCCTTTCCCAAATAACACCACTGTAGCCCTAATTCCTTCCATTGCGCCTGTCGTTCTTCTTCTCCATTTCCTGAGCTCGTGTCTATCAATGGCGTCGTCGTCTGCATCAAGTGGTACCAAAGAACGTAAGAGCACAACTAATTACGAGCCTGCAGTGTATTGTTGGTGTGGATTGAAAGCCCCGTTGTGCGTCGGAAGGGAGAGTGGGAGACAATTCTATGGATGTCAAAAATGGCTAGTAAGTCTTCATATGAAATGTGCATTTCTAATTTCGTAGGTTTTGTGGATGTTTGATATGGATGTATGCAAAATATACAGGGTTATTAGTTATGGATGTCTTCGTAAGTCTTCATTGTAGTTATATTTTGAAGTTATTAGTTATTGTGATTGGTTTTCAAAATATACAGGGTGATGGATGCGGCTACTTCTTATGGAAGGAAGACCTAGGAAGAGAAGACATAATCAGGCCTGGTCACAAGAAAGATAAGCTGGATGAAGTTAAGATCATTGTTGAAGGTCTTGTCCAACGCATTAGCCATGTCCAAGAAGATGTAAAGTGTGTGAAAACCTTTCTTGAAAATGACGTGAAGCACAGAAAGAAGGCCAAGAAGTTCATTGTCATAGGGCTTGTTGTGGCCGTGTGCTTTGTATCAAAATTGTATGCAGGATAGGAATGCTTCAGTGTAATTGAATGCCTATGATGTAATATGTTCTCAGTTTGAAGTATTTAAGTAGTTGTGAACACCTTGTGTGGTTGGTTCGTTAAAGTTGTGAACACCAGTGTAATCTGAGCATCTTTTGCACTTTATATTAGTCATTGCTGATTTTGGTACCACATGTTTCGGTTCAGATCTGTCATTTAATACCCATGTGGCCTGTAAATTAACCCAAACATGAATGTCATTCCAGTAAATAATACATGTGGCTACAATGATTGTAGATCACATGGTGCTGACAGAGTAAGCCATAAAGGTTGTTGTCCAAAAGCCATTATGCAGACTATCTATTCAATACAACATTCAGTTTCAACATTATGTCCAACATTCAGGTTGCTGTCATGAGCCAAAACAGGTCATCTGACCACACATATGGGCAATGACATACACTTAAACCCCATGCATAAAACCAAGGGACCCTAAAACCAACATACACTTAAATCCATACTTCAAACCAACATAAGTTTTACACATTCATAAATTCAAGCAAAATAAGAAGTTCCATTGTTCCACCCTTCTTCCCTCATCCAAGCAAAATAAGAAGTTCAATAAATTCAAGCATACACAATCTTCAACCCCAACATCATCTTCATCTTCACACAACACCCTTCTTCCTTCATCCAAGCAGAGTCTCTCCAGGCTGGCCAGGCTGCAGTTAACAAAGCAGTTGAATTCAGAAAGGTGGATTAGTTATCAAAGCATTATGCTGACATATGCAAATACAATACATTTGTGGAGTTCACTTACTTCCAATATGGTTTCACCTGTAGCTTCATCAAAATAAACTCCAAAGCCAGAACTTGCCACAATGTTAGCATTCAGCTTCTTCATGATTATTGGTCCAAAGGGTCCTGCATCATAAATAATTTAAAGCACATGTGAATACATAGGTTATCATATGTCATATTCAATTCCACCAAGTATTCTGCCTATCCTTTACCTGGCCACTTGAGAACATATTTCCTTTTCTTGGCTATTCTTTTCATGGTTGCCACTCTTATGTCCTCAAGCATTGGGATGAGAGGTTTGGATCTACATTTTAAGAGTGTGTTATTAAAGGCCTCTGAGAGATTGTTCTCAACTGTGTCACATTTCACTGCATCCCTAAAGAAAGCTTTGCACCACAACTTGAATGGATATTTGCGTAAGTCTTTACCAGCTTGAACATTGGCCTTATCCAACTCTGCTAAGTTTGCTTCCAATTGACGTTCACATGTAGACTTTGCACACAGCCAAAATAGTTTTTTCAGATTCATGCCTCGATGAGTTTTGCTCCAATTTGCGTGAATATGCCTTGCACAGTTCCTGTGCTCAGCGTTTGGAAAAACTCTGCTCAATGCATTGGCTAGGCCCTAAACAATGACAATTTATAACAACAAACACAAGAGTTAATTGCATATTTTACTTGTAAATACAAAGAAAGAACAAAAATATATGATCTCACCTTCTGTTGGTCACTGATGAAGGTCCACTGATCTGGGGCAGTAACATCCAAGTCCTTATACAACAAATCCAAAAACCAAGTCCACGAAGAGGTGTTCTCAATCTCAACCACGGCCC